GAAAGAAAGAAAGAAAGAAAGAAAGGAGTAATCCTCCTTTTTTATCCAAAATATTAGTTTCTTTTGATTCTGGGGTGAAATATGACCCACACATTTCTTTGCAAACACATGCTAGAGTCACGTTCCTTCATTTGTACACTGCAGCTGTAGTCAAGACCTTCACAATAAGGCTCCATGAAGACTGTAAATGAATGTGTGTGTCTGTGTGCAAGTGTGTAAATGCTACCTCCACGGCTAGGCTGTGGTCAGACATAGAGACGCTGGTGTTGCGGTGCCAGCACACATGCATGGTGGTGTTGGCCCTGTGGTGGCTCTGCTTGTCCAGAGAGCAGCGGGAAGAGTTCATGTCATCCTCTGACTCCTGCTCCAGAGACACTTCATCTGATGATCCTTATGATTGTGCGGAGGGAGAGGAAGGAAGGAGGAGAGGGGAGAGAGAGGAGGAGCAATCGGAAGCGATGGGGTTTACATCTACTTCAGGATCAGTGATAAAGAGGCTAAGGGACAAAAACACATCACGACCTGCACATGTGTGGACAGTGGAAGAATACGCTGTAAGCAGGCTTGAGATACTTACTGTTGGAGCGATCACACAGGCTTGGGTCCAACAGAAGATCTGATTTCTCCTGACATTTCTTTGACATGTCAATAGCCATGTTCAGATCTTCAATCCATTTGTTCATCTCTACTTTGGAGCTGTGGAGGAGAAAGAGTCTCTTACTGAAAGATGATAAACAGCAAAGACAAAAGTTAAAGGGATAATTCACCCAAAAAATCCGTTTATTCCGTTTCTGTCTTCTGTTGAAGATATATATTTTGAAGATTGTGGGTAACAGTTAATGGTTCCCACTGACTTCCATAGTATGAAAAAAAAATACTATGGAAGGCAATGAGGATCAGCAACTGTTTGATTACATACATTCTTCAAATTATCTTTTGAGTTCAGCAGAAGAAGAAAAAAATTCATACAGATTTGGAACAACTTTAGGGTGAGTAAAATGATGACAGA